TCAGATACGGACACGACACTTCAAATATTCATAGTGCATGCAGAGGCATGATAATACATTGAAAATTATTCAAATAAATTAAAATTCATTCGAGGTTCAGAAACGGCATTCGATAGCTGTTGGAGGTGGTCGGAATAAACTGTTGGAGTTAGAACTGGGCAGCGATTGTGCGTGGTTGCATGTGCTATGTTTACTTGGATATTGGCGTGAAATGAAGCAAGGAAGAGGGATGCGTGACTCACACACTGTCTTCGAAACCCCATGAAAACGGATATAAATGCAAGCTTGGTTTAAGTGGAGATGTGTTGGCTACTTTGATCGGGAAAGGGGAATTGAGATTAGTGGTCGCAACCGTGCTTTGATTTTTCATTTAGTTGAGGAAGATCAGGTGTTGTGGCTACTCTTTTGGCACAGTACTGCTGTGTTTTTTCTTCTTTTTTTCAAGATGGCTATGTGAAGGGGCTGGGGTTATAGCCACCGGTAGTCAAGGTTAAGCCGGTGAGTGTGTTGTTTTTGGCCCGGGAGTTTTTATTCTTTCTTTTCTTTTTTCTTTTTTCTTTTTTACGGGGGTAATTTTTGCAAATGATGGTGATTTTATTTTTATTTTTTGTCTTTTTTACTCTTGGGTTGGCTGATGTCTTGTTTCTCTAGTGTTGTTTAATGGGTGTTTTATTATATGTATCATATGCCCTAATTTATATCGTTGGGGTTCCTATCAAATTGGAAAATAAGATATTGGAATTTTTTTTATTTTTTTACTTCTTAAACTCTAATTTGAAAATTTTATGATCAAGAATTAATTATTTTTATTATTATTGACTGTATAAAATCTTTTCCTACAATTTTTCCAGTTTTTAATTAAATCTTTATTATATAAAAAAATAATCCATATTTATTATTTCTCCACTTATTTATAAATCTTTCACTATATTTTTTTCTTTCTTGCTTATCATTTCTCTTTATAATATTTTTATTTTTTTTCAATCTCATCATGTTTTATTAAGTATTAGGTTGATAATAAATTAACTTTCATATTTTTTTTTTGAATGATAAAAGTCCGCCCCACCCCTTCTTTATTTATCTTTTGGTTTTTTATTAAATTTCATTATTTAATATGAAAATTTTAATTCCTTTGAGTTTCTTTATTTTTTTATTTTTTTAATTGTATCCTCTAATATGAACTTTTTATTTAATTTTATTATTTAATATTATATTAATTTAAAAAAAAACTTACTCAATAAATAAAGTCACGTCAAAATAATTCACAATAATTTAATTTAAAAATAAAAACAAATACACAAGTTAGAATTTTTAAAATTTGAATAGTTGGATCAAGTTTCATAACAATATCAAAAAGTAAATTCAATAATTTAGATATTATTTTTTTATATTCTAAATTTTTTTAAAAAGCAGAACGCTCTATAACGTAATAAACTAGTTCAAACTAGTTCTATTAATGGTGAAGGATGCTGTAACCATTGAAGAACTTCCAGTTTAGTCATGCCCACCCCTTCAATAAATGGAGACTTCACTTTCATATTTTATGACTCTGATCAGCTCAGTCGTTTTATTTTCACGGTGTCCGAACATCATTGAATTGAATTAATAAAAGTGATGGAATATGTAATTTTGAATTATAATTCAGAATAAAACATGCCATGAGCTTTCTATATATATATAAATATATATACCTGTCAGATAATCCTCAGCCAGCTAGCTTGAGCATGCTCTCTAACATAGTCCTCAACCCCCGGAATTCTGTCTTTATTAAAATAAATAATTTGCCTGTATAATGCAAGTTGAGCACTTATCCACATCCTTGATTTAGACTACGCAAAAAAAGTAAAATTGTTTCCCCTCATTAGAACAATAATTTATTCGCATCTTGGAGCCTCCAAATAATAGCAAAAATTAGCAAGAGTACTGATTAGACATGCTAATTTTGGTTGAATTAATCGCTTCAGACTTATCTCAATAGATAGGAATCCATGGTTGTTCATGTTAATTCTAGCGTGCTCGTTTGCTTTTTTCAGATTACACCAAGTTTACATCTCTTTTTAGCTAGCTACCCTACTACTATAAATATATGCATGTAAACACATCCATGCTGTCGTATCAAACATATCAAGAATTATCAAAACATGGCAATGCTTTTGCAAGCAAGAAGAATATTGACACAAACCCTGCCTAGATGCAACTCAAACTCATCTCAAGCCTTCGTTAGGTTACTAGGATCGGCGTCGCGGGGCTTGCACGGTAATGTCCCGCGAAGTAAGTTGTTCGATCCGAATGCGACGTCAGGGAACGTCATCACTTGCAATGGTAAGAATTGCAGCTTGGATTAGCATCCTATGTTGATCGATCCCTGATTGAAACTTGCTTTATTGATTCGTATTTTTCGTTGGTTTTTATGGTCATCAAGCTGCCGTTGTTCGGGGTCCGAAACAACCTTTTCTTATGGAAACAATCCGAGTTGATCCCCCGAAGAAGATGGAGGTCCGAATCAAAATCCTCTACACTTCAATCTGCCACACTGATCTAAGCGCTTGGAAAGGCGAGGTAACATAACACTAAACAACTTTAACCTTAATCTACTATGATGCAGTTTAAGTTCTTGTGCTGATCACAATAAAGTTACTGACGTTGTCGTTGTTCTAAAGAATGAAGCTCAGCGAGCATATCCTCGGATTCTAGGACACGAAGCTGTTGGGTAGGACATGTTCCTAATATTATTATTTGATCAATCAATATTTCATTACCACTTTAAGGAGACTTGGATGCGTTTTGCAGGCTGGTTGAGAGTGTAGGTGAAGGTGTCACGGACCTTAAAGCGGGCGACCATGTGATTCCAATCTTCAATGGAGAATGTGGCCACTGCCCCTACTGCACAAACAAAACAACCAATCTCTGCCAAACTTATCGCGTCAACCCGTTCAAGAGTGTGATGGAAAATGATGGAAAGTGTAGGTTTTCTACCATGAATGGAGAGCCCATATTCCATTTTCTCAACACATCGACTTTTACCGAGTATTCTGTGCTTGATTCTGCCTGTGCTGTCAAGATTGATCCTAATGCTTACCTCAAGAAGATGAGCTTGTTAAGTTGTGGTGTCTCTACTGGTAAGATACCGAAAATTCATTGATCTCTTCTTGTTCTTGAAGGCCTAGGCGCCTAGCTCCCTAGTCCCTCCCATTATCATGTAGATAGCAAAAATCTCTGGAGGCTCACTCTGAATGCGTGTTTTTCTAATCTTGGACATGTGAATTTGATGTTTAACCTGATTAGGAGTGGGAGCCGCATGGAATGCTGCCAATGTACAAGCTGGATCAAGTGTGGCTATTTTTGGTTTGGGGGCCTTGGGACTTGCAGTAAGTAACATCCTTTTCATCTGCCTTTCTAGTCTCGCATGAGACAAATGAACAGGGCCTGTGAATGTGGCAAATTTTTGGCCATATTTTACTTCATATTTTTGCCACTTTTCAAAATAATTTACATTTTAATTTTATTTGAAATTGAATATACTTTCAAGAAAGTTCTACTGTGGGCATAAAAATACAATCTCCCATTCATTCTATTTATTCACAAATCAAACGGAAAATTATATATACATATAGGATGATGAGTCCACTTCATAAGAACATGAAGCTTAGCCTAAATTCTTTTGATCACAGGCTTCCGAAGGAGCACGAGCCAGAGGAGCATCCGAAATAATAGGTGTTGATATCAACCCAGAAAAGCTCAATAAAGGTATCCTTTTCATTTATTGATTCTTCATATTTCCAATTCCCACCAGAAAAGAAAGACCTGACCTTCGAGTTTTATGGCAATGTCTTTCGATATGGTTGCAGGCAAGGAAATGGGAATGACTCACTTTGTAAACCCAAAAGATAGTTCAAAGCCAGTGCACCAGGTTGGCAACTAAAATATAAATGAGTTTTCTCTTAGATTGCTGAGCATGTGACTGTATTAACCATCCTAGCAAATGGTGTTGCAGAGAATCAGGGAAATGACTAGTGGAGGTGTGGATTACAGCATTGAGTGTGCAGGGAATGTGGAGGTTCTCCGAGAAGCCTTCTTGTCCACTCATGATGTAATTCCCTATTAGCATTTCATTGCTCTAGTTTCACCCACTTTTGTTTTGTGCGTGGGTGGGTTATTGTTAAATTACTCGAGAACCAGATTGTGCATCGCTCGGCCCTCAAAGCTTGTCAATAATGTTGACATGTGTGGATTTTGCATGTGACAGGGCTGGGGAAAGACGGTAGTCGTCGGGATTTATCCCACTCCTAAAATGTTGCCTCTCCATCCAATGGAGTTGTTCGATGGTCGGAGCATCTCTGGGACAACCTTTGGAGATTTCAAGGGAA